GGGTCTATCAAATCGATTTTTCTTTCAAAATCCTCATGCCGTTTTCGTCGTCTATCACGACTTGAGAAATCATGGACGTGTCCTTGACTTCAGCCGATGACTATCAGGTTACAATCCATCACGACTCTTGAAGTTGAGTAGGCTACCGCTTCATACTGCAGTCCTCGGAAGAAATGCATCCCCCGCGCCCCAATGAATGTCGGACTGTGGCGTCAGTAAAGAAAACCTCCTGCGGACACGTTCTGGATGATCTGATGTACCCGTTTGTCATGGGCGGTCGCCTTTATCTTGATTTTGACGCCGAGTCCATACTCATGTATGCCTCAGCTGTGCGTGATATCATTTTTGCCCTCCATAACATTGGCATTATACCTAATACAGCTGTATGTTTTCCGCTTCCCTCGCTTCCAGATTTTTTGACCTCTTTCGTCCTTTCGGTACCGTAGGTCCTTTCAAATCCTCATCTTATTCTTGGGGTTGAGACGGTCGTACTTTACGGTAGGCTCCCGAAGTACATGGAAGAAACTTTGGCCCTGCCGTCGTCTTGATCGGCGAGTCTTCAGACCGTTATGTTCTCATCTCGAACGCAGCAAGGCGCCCATGGAACTCATGGGAAAAGTAAATGTCTCCAGCGTCCGATTGATGAATGGAAGTCGGAGAATTCTTTGACTGTTTTCCGCCGTTGGCCACCAAACAGATCCATCGTCACTCCGCGTTTAGATCTGTTTAGATATTTCGGCCATCTTCCATTGCTTGGTCTACGAGAACTTACGGCGGTACATACCACACAAAGGTCTGATAACAATGTACGTTGCCCTTCTGTTCAAAAAGGGTCACCCGCGTTCATGCAGCCCAGATACTAGTAATGCGCCGCAGCATACATTACATGACATCGACTTAATAGCGCCACTGGAACGGCCTTGGGGCGATGAGTACCTCCGGTTGTGGCTAAGGGCCCTTTGACAGGCGTAAATGTCTTTGAAGACCTGGCGGAAGTAGCCAAGAGGCGATCTCGGTGGTGCGCGCTGGCGGTCGACTGGGGCACGTTCGTTGACCCGAATAGCTGATAGCCACTCGCCGACGATGTTACGACCGCGAAGCGTCCGCTCCATGTCCGCAACACTATCCGCAGTCGCTTCCAGTTCGTCCATGACGCGAGTTCGAATAACGCGATCCCGCTCATGCTTCCAGCTCGAGGTGGAGTACGACGATCCTAGTTATCAGTGGAGTAGCGAGAATTTGGTCAACTTCTTTGAATGCTGCGGCTATCGTCACCATCTTCATCAATCTCCACATCTACCCAGTTCAAGTTGACATTTTGTTGACAGCCTCACACGAACGTACATGAATATGCAATTCTATCAGCAACTGTAGCGACGACGTGATAACCGAGTAAAAGCTTTAAGCAGGGTATATATGGATACTGCATCGATAACGAAAACTAAAAGGACGAATAATGAGTAGAAATATGTATCGCAACCGTGGCGCGAAATGCTGGTGGTAGTACAGGATGAAATAGATACAGAGATTACGACAACTTTTTTTAACGTAGTTCATCACCCATATCATACATTGACACATATTGAAGATTCGTGAACTGTCGTTAGGCACGTAGAAATCGTTCATGTCCCTGCGCCTCGTCGCAGCGCTGAGCAATGCGCATTGCCACACTCATCGCACCCTCCACGACTTCACGCGAAGGTGAGCCGAGATCAGTATGTTTTAGTAGGTCTAGAAGTCAATAAATGTCAGGATTAATCGTACGAGCGCTAAGCGAAAGAACTAACCCCGGAAGAAAAGAACATATCGCGTAACACGTTGAACAGGGAGAATGCCCAGGTCACGTATGGAATGATAGTCAACGGGTGGCGATCGCGTGGGAGACATAAGACTCGGAATAGATGTCCAGCTTTTACGCCACATGCTTTTAGAACGCTGAGAAGGGGTATTGGGTTCGGTCAATGCTCGAGAGGGTACCGAGGGAAGGGGAGGAGAATGGGAAGAAAGGGTCTTGGATGACTGACTCCTCCGAGCGCGACTGATCTTCCGCCGCCTATCTTCGTCGAACCAACCGCCAACGACACTGCACCAGGTGCTCAACGCATGTACAACCTGGTCTTCAAGCTGAATGAACACACTTGCCACCCCAGTAACAGTGGGATCGGCTTCCATTGCATGCAAGAGGCTCTGTGAAGCAGACACGAGTGTGAGGAGATGATCACGCATGATGGATGGGGAGGGGTAGGCAGGCCATTGTCCCGTAGCATGCGTAGTTTGCATGAGATTATGCAACTGCGAGAGGTAATGTCTCTCTGTGCGCAACAGATCTCGGGTTGTCAAGAGAGCCAATAGAGTCGACCGCTTGTCTGAATCATGGTCGTCGAGCGATGCAGAATGACGGAGAAGGCCTAAGTCATCATATGGATATTCATCGTACTCGTGGCCGTCCCAAGATGTGCAGTGAGTACGTTTGAACACGGTCTCGGCAAAATCTTGGTCGGTAATGTCCTCATCTGTCATGAGGGTCCATCGGCGGCGACGCTTGGTCTCAAGCTCTTCACAGTCAGAGTTCCTGCGCTGCAGAGCGACCTCAGGCATGACTGCGTCTTTGAAAGATGGACGCGGGAAGGACGTGGGATCCTCGTGGTTGGGGAATGAATCTGGGACATGTATGGGATCATTTTGCGTGCTTTCATGATCGTCTTCCTCTTCATCCGAATCGCTTGGGCCGATTGTGAATTTGGTCTGACGCGATGGAAGCTAAAGTGCGAGTAAGCAAAGTGAACGCTATGGTAAAAAGAAGTACGAACCGGAGGCAGATCGCCTTGGAGTGGAGGCGGTTGCAAGGCGCGATCGGGTTTTCTACGGCGGAAATTAAACGAAAGTGTCGCTCGACGCTTGAGACCGTCGCTGTTGGAGGGCAGATGAGCATAAGAGACGACTGTGGGCTTTTCCTTCTTGAGCTTGCGTGATGGCATCGAGACAGTCCGTTTGGGAGCGTTTTCTGGGCGTAAAAGTGGTGTGGTGGACGTGACTGTGGGGGCATATTGGACCGTACTCGTGGGGCTGGATGGTGCACTAAAAGAATACGGGAAATGGGCGACAGCAAGAGGGTCATCTGGCACGAAACTGAAGGCAAGAGCATGTCCTCCACGCGGCGATTTCCGCAGCTTGTTGGCTCGTCTGGGTCCCGGGGCTCCGGGGGTTAGAGAAAAGTCGCCAGGACTGTGCGACGAGGTCGACGACGACGGGGAATAGACGAGGTCTGCAACATTAGCCAGCATTGACTTTTGGCGGGAGAGACCAAGGGCACTCGGCGGTTACCAGGCCACCTTTTTTATTTAGCATGGTATTACGCTGGGATGACATCAACCGATATCCGCCTTCAGACTTGGGCCTTCTCGGCCGTTACCCGCCGGGACCCAAGCAGTTCCGTACGTCAACCGCTTTGCGTGATAAGATCCCATAGAACGCATATCTGCGCGTCTAGAGTGTACTCGGATTCATCTTGCTCTTCATTATTATTAACTTTGTTTTACATTCCTATCGAGGCTGCATATCGATAACCACCCAAACGCGTCCATTCGTCCACACTGCGTGTCGAGACAAGAGTCATTCATGTCCATTGACATCCGATACGATGTCATCGAAGCGCGCGATGAACGTTTCTATTCACACGTTGCCTTTTTCCCGTGCTCCGTGCGTTTATACTCATTCCACTGAAACACCGGAATCCCTTCGTAGCGAGGCGAGCTCCAGGGTTCGCATTGCTAGCAGATTTCCTCTAGACTTCGATGTTCTTTAGATCTTCGAAACGTAACTAGCTCGACCTTCTTAACCGTATTCTTATCTGGTACGAACGAGGTTTCACCTTATCTGACCGCACAAAGCGCAATGTCTTGCGCGTTGCTCTCGAGCATGCCGTTCAGATCGTCGTATCAACCTTTCGATCGCTTCAATGAACACAGCATTACGGACAATTCTCACTCCGTTACGCTTAGCTGCTCCTGTCTTCTTGAACCTTTCACAGCGCCATCAACGTCTGAGTCCGCCATGAGGGCCCGAGCTCACGCTGGTGTTCGTTTCCATGATCGGAGGGTGAGGGATGCCCGCCCCGAAAGACATCCATCGCCCGCCTAGCTCAATCGGATAGAGCGTCAGACTCTTATGACTAGGCGATCTGAAGGCTGCGAGTTCGACCCTCGCGGTGGGCTACAGCATCTGTTTTGCAGGGTGGAAGATACCGAGTTTAATTTTAGAGTTTAAGAATTGTGGCGCCATCTATCTTATTTGGGCCCTGGCCCTGGGGCCTGTACATGCTTGGTACATGTCGATCTATGGAAAAGAACAAGAGAGAAAATGTGTTAACAGCATTCTGAAGACTCATTTTGAGTCAGAGAATTCATTCAAAAACCACTTGATCGTTACAGTTTGAAAGAGTGCGTCGATAAGTCTCACTTCAATAGACGGAAATGGATAAATGGCTCCCTCGTCAGTGACAAGAACACAAAAGGCGGTGACTTCCATTCTGTGGAGATCTGATCGATTACAGTGCTAGATTGAACAATGCCATAAACTCGTCCCTTCGAAAATGCGTAGTAATGCCGTAGTGGACGTTGTGGTACCAGCAACCCTTCTTTATTTTGCTAGTAGCTCAAAGGTCGACACTTTCAGCGACGAGGCAGTCTAATGTTAGCGACCGCGACAGGCGCCATTCCGAAAGCACTTGTGTCACCCGGGATTGAATTAACAGGTATGACGTGTTCACTGTTCACCGTCTTGTGGATGGTTATCGTAGAGACAACAAAGTCGTGTCAAATGGTGGCGCGACTCATGACCATGTTAGCGCGAGGGCGTTTCAGTTACAAACGCCGCACGCGTCATTATGCGTCATACTGTACCTGGACCTCGAAGATGGACCTGATTGCATTGTAAGGGTCCTTGTGGATCCGCTGGTTTGTGTGACGTCGAATATACAGGTACTTGATCAAGAACTAACAGCCCGCCTAGCTCAATCGGATAGAGCGTCAGACTTTTATCCGCTTGCAAGCGTTAGGAAGTGGCATCTGAAGGCTGCGAGTTCGACCCTCGCGGTGGGCTATTTGTAGCATGAGGTTGCGATATTGCTTTTTGCTGCATGGTAACTGCCAACTGGATGGCTCACGGAAGAAAGGAACTTCAAGGAAAACGGTGATCCGGGGAGTGTTCGTAATACGAAATCTCAAGGTCTTACTTAATACCACTAACATCGTAGAGTATCCTGCGCCACACTCTTCAATTCACCATTCTCATCTCAGGTTACATGGCTCTTTGATTTGTGTTTAAATGTTCTTTGTTACTAGCATGCTATGGGATACAGGATCAGGTATGTACAGATGACACGAAATATGCAGGATATCTTGGAGATTGTATGAAACGTCAGCACTTGGGTAATTAAGTAAAATATGCAAGAGGATTAGATATTACAACATGGACGGGTTCGGATGTCTGTACATGTGCGTCTGGTTCGCAGGACCAGAATGCCAGTTGTCGACGAGGGCGGAGATGTCGACATGGCTCGCATTTCGACGCACGGAGGGCGAGGGCGGTGCTGTGGGAATGCCCTGCCAGTCAGGATGAGGAACGATGTACTGGCTGTTCGCGCGCGAGCGACGAGCCCGTGTCGGTCGCCTGTCGCTGTCGTCAGACTCTGATTCTGTGTCGGCCTCCAGACGATCCCTGATCCCATGGCTACCAAAGGATGTGGTGACGCCGTCGGTGTTGATTACCATAGCATTGGCGCTGTCAATTTCGGTCTCCATGACCTGCTCGGCGTTGTCTGTGATGGCTTGAGGTGTGTGACTTTGCAACTCGGATAGTGCCCGGACAAAGTCATCCATAGCCATGAACGCCCGTGCACACGATTCCAGAAACGGGAACGACTGGAATATATGCACCTGAAAATGAGTTAGCCCACAAGGAGGTGTATCACCACTGGGTACTTACTGAATCTTCGTACAATTCGTGCCGGACTTCTACACCTGCAGCGGAAGCTTTATGAGCAAGTAGTGTTATCTCGTCCCGCAAGACTTCAGAATCCCCTGATTGAATGAGAAGTGGTGGCAGTCCGTGAAAGTCACCGAAGAGTGGACTCGCATATGGATGTGTCAAGTATTTCTCAAGTGATGGACCAAGATACGAGACCACTGGATTCAGACAATCGTCCGCGGCGAAGACGGGTACTATATCGTAACATGCGTTGGAATCCCACGACTCGCAGCTCATAGTAAGATCTGGAAAAGTGCACGATATCAGGGAAAGCATTTTACGAGAACGGAGCTTCACTGACCGACCCAAGGAGACATGAGGATGGCACCTCCCGGTAATGGGTACTCGTTATCGCGCAAGTACATCAGTAAAGCGAGCGACAGTCCACCACCGGCGCTATCCCCGCTGATGATGATGTTTTCTGCCGGAATGTTCAGATCCTCCACAAGCCTCAAGTATCCGCTAACCACGTCATGCAGTGGTCCTGGAAATGTGCTCTCCGGCGCCAATCGGTAGTCCAGGGCGAACACACGAGCATCCGTATTCAATGCTAATGGGACGGAGATTTGTCGCTGTGAGGCAGGACTCCCCACAATGTAAGCACCTAACCCCACATTCAGTAACATGTGATTGCTGCGAGAATGACGCGGGGGCATACCTCCATGGATATAGAGCACGACTCTCTCGGTCTTTTTGCCCACCTTGACGCTCTGTTTGCCACTCTTTCGGGAAGCTTGAGAAGTTTTCCAGTCGGCTTGCAAACGTCGCCAAGTTTTCTTCCCCACCACCCATTCGCCGGAGAGCTCCCTGTGCCCTGATTCCCTGGCATCAAAGTCGGCTAATATGCCTCTTAGACGACGCCGACGAACGCGAAAAGTGACTGGTGTAACCAGCGCATCGGAGGGTAGAGGTGCCAAGCCCCCTATACTCATGAAAAATCTTATGGACGGCTATGGTCGACGTTGAAAAAAAAAACACGCGGCATTCAATGGCGACAAGACTTACAAGGTCCATAAGAAAGCTGTGACGACCAGCGTCGCGCATGAAACTAGAGATCAAGGTCATCTCGATTCCCCAAGTCTTTTTTCGAGGGCCCCATATTGTGTGCGAAACGATGTCGCCTGTCATTTGTGTCGCTGTAAACTAGATGTAAGAGGGTTTGAAAGATGAATCCGCTAGATAAATACCTTTGCTCGCAAGAAACCATCCATACTTCCAATAGTGCCAAGGTCTGAAAGTTGGTTGAGATCGTATCTTGATAGTAGGTGTGATGCGGGATGAAGGCGGTGCAACCCCAGGCGTAGTATAATGGTGCATCAACGCCTGAAGTTCCTGTTCGTAGGCTTCTTGGAGGTCGAAGTCCTCTCCATACGATGAGGCGGGACTGACGGGAGGCCGAAGAACGGTCATCGCTGGGCGGTGGAGGCGAAGGCTGAGGAAAGCACGAGAAAAGAGCTAGTAACGGCAGAGAAGGGGTCAAAAGTGTGTCAGAGAAGGATGAGACTTGGACTAAAAAGAGCGTTAACGATGGTCCATCCGTACGTGGTGGCAATAGGTAAGCGTGATAGCTCCTAATGACAGCGGCAGCCCGAATGGAGGTTGTTTAGGCAATGGACTGCGTCACATTCAGGTGATCGAGAGGGATAATCCGTTTCTTCTCCAATATGGCGGTCCGTCCGCGCCTCGACGAATCAGCTGTTCTATATAACTTATTTCATGAGTCCGAGACGCCGAATTGCATTCAAGATCACAGGTAGTTGTTACATGTGAGATATCTGAATTGCCGCAATGTTCAGTAGTCGTCTCCTCGACTAACCACTTCCTTAACAGTCGGCCGGAGTAGTATCGTGTGTTCCTATGCGGAGGATTAGCAGAAACATCTTCAGAGACAACCGACTGACAAATTGGGCGGTCATCGATCCAAGTTGATCGCAAAGCGGAGGGTAATCCTGAACAACCCCTTGCGCCACTAAATGGTTTAGCTACGAAACGCATTAATCCCAAATTCAAAGTCGTCTGACGCGGAAAGACGGACCGCAAGGAGATATTTGCTTTCACCTGCTCTATCCAAGTAGCGGCGGCAAAATGGTAACGTCCCAAAGTTGTTGTTAATGGTCTTGAGCAGAGATTTCGCTGAAGTCAATCTAAGACTCCTCGTCAGCAGGTCAACTCTTTGAGAAATTCATCGCACGGACCGTAGAGGCACATGCGGTGCATCTTTCATTTTGGCATAATGTGAGCATTCGCCCTTTGATCGAGAGAAATGTCAATGTCAGAAGCGGAGAAAGGAAGGAAAATAGCTAACGCTTTCCACCACACGCCCACGTCCAGTCGATCCAAACGTCTCAATGGCGAAGTATTCGCCCTCCTCCATCTTTGTCTGATCATCATTGGCCACCAACATAACAGATTTTCCGCCGTGAATCTGATATGGATTAATGGAGTGGCCGCTAAGATTTTCTATAGGCTTGACTAAAAGAAGCCTTCAATAAAGCATAAATAATATACGGACACATAAACACACCAGGGTAAACTTTGCCGTTGACTTCGACCTCATATGACTCCATGGTTTCCTGGATAGCAGCTCCAAGTTCACCTAGTCGGACATCGATACCAGCCTCCTGCAAATGGAGATCAATCAAAGCAATCAGTAGATTCTGCGAAAAGACACTCACGCGTATACCGGTATCAGTAGCAGCCTTCACGGCTTCGAGAAGCTTGTCGTATGTAGGTTCAAAGTTCATCGTGAACGCTGAATCGACAATGCGACCATTGACATGTACACCGAAATCCACTTTGAGCACGTCACCTTGTTGCAGGACTGCACGGGGTTGAGATATCAGCGAACATGACAGTAGAAGATCACAAAAAGAGCCACCTTTGGTGTCACCTGCATTGGGAGAGTAGTGTGCTGCGCAGTGATTCAGGCTGAGGCCGGTGGGGAAGCCGACGCCAGATTCAAATCCGTTGGCCTCGACCAGCGCGCGAGTGCCGTCCTCGATGTTTTCAGCAATCTCCGTCATAGTCATACCAGGCCGAATGGTCTTGCGCGCGTGTCGGCGGACGAGTCTGTGCACCTCTGCGGCGCGTCTGATGTGCTGATAAGTCGTCTCCGGGTCTTCCATAGCTAGCTTTTCGTCATAGCGCTTCTCCTCTGAGGTGATACGCCACGCATTGCTGTCATCGCTCAAGTCAGACGCCAATCGGAGCTGTGAATTGAGTTTTTGGAGTACGCACTCGTCTTTGTAAGGCTGGAGCTCACCCTCTGGATACACCCCGTTCGGAAAGAATTTTGTGATCCCTGTAACCTATAGCTGAGTCGGGGAGTCTCTGCGATGGTATCTACATACCTATCCGGGGAGGATCACTCTGTTCTAATTTCTTCTTTTTGGGTTTTTTCTTCTTCTTTTTCTTCTTTGCGTCTCCTACCAAAGATTACACGAGTGATCAATATAGCAGCATTTTAGTGACATACCAGCTCCTGCAGGTGCAATTTCTTCTTCCTCTTCTTCGTTTTCGTTTTCCTCTATCTCTTCATTCTTCTTGAGTACCGGGTCTTCCTCTGGTGCAGTAACCATAGTGCCAAGACCAAGAGTCAAGAATACGCAGCGGATCTGATGCCGTAAAGTGTGGCAGATCTTTCGATATTCAAGCTTGAGCGGAGAGTATGCCAGTGTCCTGTGCGCAGCACAGAGCAGTTTAGTTCGTTGCCGAGCGTGAGTGAGAGAAGACAAAATATAATTGACCAATGAACGACGACGTCAGTGATTGGTTCGTGATCTGCAAGTAAACAAAGCCAGGGCGCGTCGAGTTCCAATAGGATGTGTTTAATTAACTATTGTATGCCAGTGGTACGCGAAAAAAAAAAATCTACGTGCTGTTGGCGCTCGTGCTCAACGATTGACTCCTTCGCTGCATCTCTAAACCATTTTTGAAGATCTCCAGCTCTTCGACGACATTCGTCAACGCATTGCACTCCCATTGCCCGTACAAGAATCCTGAATACAACATTGTTGTGGCCAGCCACGCGATGAAGATTGTAAATATTATGAAGATGGGATTAATCCATGCGT